TAATAATAATAATAATAATAATAATAATAATAATAATAATAATAATAATAATAATAATAATAATAATAATAGCGAGAGGTGTTGCATGTAAAAGGCAAGGTTTTTTTCTTGGCATTTATTATGGACCTACTTAGCACAGGCAGGTGGAATCTACTAAGCTAATTATAGCTGAGCTGCCAAAGATGGAGGCTGGTTGGTATATACTTGGATGGAAGAATGTCAGAACAATCCAGAATTGCAGACGGTCCCCACCTCTAAAAAATTATCTGCTGATTTTCAGCCTGCTTTCCAATTATTTTAGAAGGGGTTAGTGGTTTCTAAGGAATTAATCTTCTGAAATAGAAGCAGTTCTAGACCTAGTCCAGTCCTATTTTCTTCACACACTTTATTCTGAATACTTTGGAACCACTTCCAGTTTTGAGAATTAATTTCCAGAAAATCACCTGCCCACCCCAGGAACAGCCAGAATGACATGGCCTGAGAAGGAACAGAGCATTCTGGAATTCTCTGGAAAATTCCATTCTGGGATTGATTGTTTTTATTCTGTGTATCACAACTCCTTAGTCTTGATGGAACTTAAATTCATGCTCTGTTATTTACACAGTGAGGATACACACACAAACACACACATGGGTGTACCAAAAGTCAGGCTTCATAGACAGTTTATTACATAAATCACATTAAATGTTCAAATTGGTTGTCATTTTCTTCCAAATATTTCATTATTCATTTGATGCATGACCTTTGAACATTCCTAAGTATACAGTAAATAAGACTATTGGAAAACATATGAACAAATCAAATTGTGATTAGCCTGTAGTGTAGAGGCTGACTTTTGGTGCATTCTATGTATGCATGAGTGTGTGCGTTTTCCTGTTATACTAACACACTCTTTGGTAAAAGATTAGTGTTTATAATGCTTATGACATTGCAGCTCATTTTGGTGTAGATTTTTAAAAACACCTGAAGACTTACCTTGTATCATTTTTAAAAATGTACAAAATAGTTCTGTAGGGCAACATGATTTTTATGTACATTGATACTTGCAGTATATTTGAAGTATATATGACTATTTAGCCAGGGAGTTGAAATTTAACAACATTAGGAAGATTGCCTACCCATGTTTAGTGGGATTGTTTGGGACTACATTTCCCCTTTGGCAGCCATGAGGCTATCTCAATTGACAATTGACTTAGTATACTCAGTAGGGCAACCAAATTTGAATTTACAGCTTGAAGGGAGGTGGATGTCAATGGCCACTTTCTATAAAAATCTAGATTAACAGTAGTCACTTCCTTGTGTGATATTGACTTAGTAGTCTGCCTTGTCAGCCCTATAAAGCAGGGGTCCTCAACCCTTGGGCCTCAGACCAGTACCGGTCCATGATCTATTAGGAACTGGGCTGTGCAAGTGGTGGGCAAGTGAGCGAAGCTTCATCTGCGCATTTGCAGGATCTAGGTATTGCATGAAACACCCCCATCCCGGTCCATGGAAGAATTGTCTTCCACAAAACTGATCCCTGGTGCCAGGAAGGTTGGGCACCACTGCTATAAAATAAACCTAAGAAACCAATGCCATATAGGTCAGGGCTATTTATATGGTAATGCTAATTGTAATAGAATCTTGGAAGCCTGAATGTGCTTCCCCCCCCCCCTTTCCCTATATTTCTGTGGAAACTAGGAAAGGGGCCAGTCAGTTGTTTTCTCAAATATTTCTTGGAATGGATTCAAGCCCGTCTTGTCTGATCATTGCCTTAATAGTGGCTCTTTGTCCTAATCTTCAGGATTATTTCTCTGCCCTCTGTAGTTCTTGAGATGTAAGATTGAATGTTATATTATTACAATTTCTCCCAAAGTTTGTTTTCTATACTATTGAGTCCAGATAGCTTCCTGGTTAAGTAGGGATCTATCAATGAGCAGAATGGTTACTTCAGCAAAAAATGGCATATAACCTACATGAGAGTGCATGATTATGGCTATGTTGGCCATAGAGAAATCTGCTCTTTCCCACCATTTTAACTTTAGTAACTAACTGTCCAGTTCAGTTTTCTCATATAGTTAATAACATCAGATGTTAACGGGAATATGGTAGAAACCTTGGAAGTGAACAGAAACATCTTTAGTGCAGGCTTCTGAGATTTAAGTTTTATATTCACTCTGAACTTAAACACATTACCACAGTTCTAATAAAAATGTCCAGTGTGTTGTGGTTATGTAGTTTTATGGATCAGTTTTATTTAATGTGACTTTTGAATATCAACAGAATCTTTCAGGGTACAGCTGGACACTTTCTTTGTCATTTTTGCCCATGTCA